ACTTGGCATTTTACCCTCTAGGTCCATCATGTTGTTACAAATGACAAGATCTCGTTTTTTTTAATGGCCGGGTAATATCTCATTGTGTATGTATACCACAACTTCTTTATCCGTTCATCTATGGATGGACAGTCAGTTCACTTCCATACTTTGGCTGTTGTAAATAATGCTGCAGTAAATGTAGGGGTACATATATCTTTTTGAATTAGTGTTTCTGTTTTCTTTGGTAAATACCCACTAGTGGGATTAATTGGATCATATGGTAATTCTGTTTTTTTAATTTTTTGAGGCACCCCCATACTGTTTTCCACAGTGGCTATACCAATTTGCATTCTCACTAACAGTACACAAGGTTCCTTTTTCTCCACATCCTCACCAGCACTTGTTTATCTCTTGTGTTGTTGGTTTTAGTCATTCTGACTGGTATGAAATGATATCTCATTGTGATTTTGATTTGCATTTCTCTGATAATTAGTGGTGTCGAGCATCTTTTCACATGTCTGTTGGCCGTTTGTATTCTTTCTTTGGAAAATGTCTATTCAGGTCCTCTGCCTATTTTTAAATTGGACTATTTGGGTTTTTTTGGTGCTGAGTTGCATAAGTTCTTCATATATTTTGGATATTAATCCCTTATAGGATGTATCACTTGTAAATGTCTTCAATAAAGTAGGTTGCCTTTTTGTTTTGTTGATGGTTTGCTTCACTGTGCAGGCACTTCGGTATAGTCCCAGTAGTTTTTTGTTTTTAAATGTTTATTATTTATTTATTTTGAGAAAGAGATAGTGAGCAGGGGAGGTGCAGAGGAGAGGGATTCATTCATTGGTCTGTTCTATTGATTTTTTAGTTTTTATTTCACTTATTCCAGCTGTAATCTTTATTCCTTTCTTGCATTGGGTTTGGAAAGCTTCATGTATTTTGATGCTCTGTTATTAGTTGCACACTTTTTTTTTTTAATTTTTATTAGTTTGAAAGAGAGCATGTGCAGAGTGTGTGCAAGTGGGGGAGAGGCAGAGAGAGAAGAAGAGAGAGAATCCCAAGCAGGTCCATGCTGTCAGTGCCCCACGAGGGACTTGATCTCACAAACCAGGAGATCATGATCTGAGCCAAAATCTAGAGTTGGGCACTTAACCCACTGACCCACTCAGGCACCCCTATACGTGTATGTTTTTAATTATTACATTTTCTTGATGGATTGACCATCTTATCACCATAAAATAGCACTATTTCTGGTAACTTCTTTTGTTTTAAAGTTTATTTTGTCTGATAACTAGTATAACAACCATTCTAGTTTTCTTGTGGTTGCTGTTGCATGGTATCTTTCCCCATCCATTGACTTTCACTTTTTCACAAACTGAGATCATGAACTGACCTGAAACCAAGAGTCAGATGCTTAACCATCTGAGCCATCCAGGCAATGCCCAGCTACCCCCAACCCCCGCCCAGTAGTTTAATTTTGCTTTTGTTGCCCTTTGCCTGAGGAGACATATCTAAAAAACTGTTTTTGCTACCAATGTCAAAGAATTACTGCCAGTGTATGGTTTCAGATCTCACATTTAGGTCCTTAATCCATTTTGAGTTTATTTTAGTGTGAGGTGTAAGAAAGTGGTCCAATTTCATTTTTTGCATGTAGCTGCCAGTTTTCCTAACAACATTTGTTGAAGAGACTGTCTTTTATGAATTGTATATTCTTGCCTTCTTTGTCATATATTAATTGACTGTATATGCATAGGTTTATTTCTGGACTCTCTTCTGTTCCACTGATTTATATGTCTTTTTGTGACAGTACCATATTGTTTTGATTACTATCACTTTGTAAGTATATCTTGAAATCTGGGATTGTGATACCTGAAGCTTTCTTAGTCTATCTCAAAATTGCTTTGGCTATTTGGGATCTTCTGTGATTCCTATCTAGCTCTGTAAAAAATGTTGGCATTTTGACAGGGATTGCATTAAATCTGTAGATTGCTTTGGATGGTGTGGACATTTTAACATTATTGGCATACTCCTCTCAAGTTCTACAAACATATTTATGATAGCTATTTTAAAATCTTTTCTATTAAATATGACATGTGGACACTTTCACAGGCAGTTTTTGCTGCCTGCCTTTTTGCTGGTGTATGGCTCATACTTGGTCTATTTTTCTACATGCCTAGTAATTTTTTGCTGCAAACAGGACATTTTAGATAATATAGCACTTTCTAGGTACTGGTGCCTCCTCCCTTCCCCATGCCAGGGCTTGTTGTGTGTTCCTTGTTTATTTACTAGCTAGCTTATTGTAGTGAGCTATGTTTCTTTCTCATGGCATTATGCATCTAATATTGCTCTTTGGGGAGGTGCAGTTTGGGGCACGCCCATAACCACCCTGAGCTGACCGTGGTACAGGTAGGGCTCTCTCCCATCTATCTGATCACACCCAACAGTTAAACTTTACTAATTATGGCCCATTACTCTGTCAGTTTCAGCAGTGCCCTGGGTCATAAATTTCTCTACAAACTAATGCAGTCACACTGGATCCTTCCAGGGATTAGTTTTTGAGATTAAATTGGGTATTTGTCTCAGCCATCTTATTCCCTGGTTCTCTCCTGCAAACTAGCTGGTTTGGGAAATCTAACTAGTGGAGTCTAAAACTCAGTTCCGTAGTTTGGTATTTGACTTCAACAGTGGGAACTTTCAATACAGGGGAATCTAAGGCATAATTCACGATTTTTCTGATGTTGCTGTTAAATGCTATGCAGGCTTAAACAAAAATACATCTACTTAACTATGACTAACAGTAGTGGTTTCTGCCTCACATTTGAGGAGCCAGAAAGCCTTGTAAGGTTGGTATAAAAATTTTTTTGACGGGTTTACGTGAAAGCTTATGGAATGTATTTTTATACAGACTCACTATTTGTGTATTTGTATCATCTTTACTTTTTAAAGTATCTTTATCTTGATTCCTTGACATTTTTATCAAATATAGGATAATTTATCAACTTCCTGTTTAGAATGTATATACTCCTTTCTCCATGAAGTGGAGGAGGAGTGGGCATCCTGCTAGGCACAACTGCCTAGACTGCCAGCCCTCTGGGTGGGTATGCCCCTTGTTCCTCCAGGGACCCACTGATCAGCCAGGGTACTGCACTGCCCTTCCTCTCAAGCACCCATCTTGCCTGGTCCTTGTGGAGCCTGAGTGTAAGCGAGGGGGTAGTGAAGGGTCTGAGTGAGCCTCCTGGCTGTTACTGCTGCTGGTGCTGATGGATCATCTAGAGACTATCCCTTGAGCTCCTCTCTGGGCTTGGAGCCCCTTGTGTTCTCCCACTTCTTGGCAAGAGAGCCTCCCTGCATTTTTCAGGCTGTCCACCCTGAACAATACTAATAATTAGTCTGTTTTATACCTTTCTATAAATGGTACTATATATATATTCTTCTGAAGCTTGGTGTTTTTGGTTTTGTTTTTTGTCTGTTTTTGGCCCAGCAATATACTTGTGACCATCCTGCCCTATTTTTTGAATCTCACTTGTGTCTGGCATTTAGTATATGGACATCTACATAATCCATTCTGTGGGCTCTTTTTTCCCCCTAATTAAGTTGACCTTTCATTTTTATTTCTTTTTTTTTAATAGTTTTGAGATGTAATTTATATACCATAAAGTTTACCTATTTAAAGTGTACAGTCCAGTGGTTTGGTTTATATACAGAATTGTGTAACAGTCAACATTATCTATTTTAGAACATTTGTATCACTCTCCAAAGAAATGCTGTCCCCATTTGCATTCATTTCCTATCTCCCTCAACCTTGCCCCACCCTCAGATTGAAACTCCTCTATTTCTGTCTCTATAGATTTATCTATTCTGGATTTTTCATATAAATGGAATCTTCTGTGGTCTTTTGTGACTGACTGACTTCCACTTAGCAGAATGTTTTTGAGGTTCATCCATGATGTAGCATGTACATGATGGGCTTTTAAGTTCACGGCTTTTTGCTATTACAAATGATGTTTTATGTGTGTTACGGAACTTTTTAAAAAATGATTTTATTAACAGTGATTTCCTATGATCTCATTTTTATCATTTGCTGAAACTGTTAGAAAAAAAACAAAGGTAGTATTAATTACAAAGATACAATTGAGTGCCTCCAGGAGTGAGTAAGATGTAGTGCTTATCTTTTTAAGAACTCACAGTGTAGTTGAGTTAGAATGCCTAATTGTAAAACCATGGAAGTACTACAAGTGAATAAGCAAAATTCTGAGGAAATACAGAAAGAGGAGCAGTTTTCTGAGAGATCTGTCCAAAGAGTTATAAAGTAAGTGACATTCGATCGCAGTCTAGACCGTGGAAAATTAATAAGGTTTCAGGAAGTGGGTGTTGGTATGGAGGCAGAAGGAGAAGCAGTGTGCAGAGGCACTAAGGGATGCATGAGGGTTTTCCAGGGACTTAGAGATAGGGTTGGTCTGAATGGTACTTTGGTAGGACAGAAAGCTAATAAGAGTCCAGGCTCATTGGTCTGTACTTGGGAATCATTGAAAACCTCAGGCAAGATGAAGATGCAGCCACATTCGTACTTTAGAATGAAGACTCTGACCGCTTGTGGGGTTGCCTGGAGATAGGAGAGTCTAAGGGTGAAGCAGTCCATATGAAGGCCATTCAGATCTTTGAGGTGAGTGATGCAGTGACAGCCATGGCAGTGGGGCTGAGAGGAAATGAAGTGGAGAGGCATCTTTTGGGTTAAATTGACAGGACTTTCTGATAATGGGTGGGAAGGGAAGAGAATTCTAAGATGACTCCCAGGGTTTCTCACTTGGACACTTGAATGATTTGAGAGTTTGATAGCTGTCCATTTTCCACAGACAAAATACCCGCTTCAATTTGCTTTAAGGAGTAAAATAACATCTTACAACGTAAAGATGACTTAAAGTGTTTTGTTTCCAATTCAGAGGTGAAACATGGGTTCATACTGAGCCTAGGATGTGTTAATTTTACACTTGAACAATCAAACTACTGTTATCACTTCCTCATAGCCAAAAGAATGCAATGGTGTCAAGATTCCTGTTGATGCCAGTAAACCAAATCCAAATGATGTGGAGTTTGATAATCTCTATTTGGATATGAATGGAATCATCCATCCCTGTACTCATCCTGAAGACAAGTACGTAACCCATTTTTGTCACTGGTACTAAAAGTTACAGAGGAGTACTGTATTAAATGACACCGTCTGCTTGTCCTTCTAGGCCAGCCCCGAAAAATGAGGATGAAATGATGGTTGCGATTTTTGAGTACATTGACAGGCTTTTCAATATTGTGAGACCAAGACGACTTCTTTATATGGCAATAGATGGAGTGGTAAGTTCACCTAGAATCCTGTTTTTGTTTTTGCTGGGTTTTGAGTGTGTAGAAGGAAAGTCAGCTAAATAACAGTAAAGGTTGACTGTGGTGAATTTGAGACAGCCTGATCGTTCTGTCAGTGTTTTGTGCCAGATTGTGAGATGCTGGGGATTAGTGGTGACTGCCCTTGCTTTTGAAGGACTTACCACTAACAGGACAGAGATAAATGAGCAAGGTTACTTACTTGTGGGCTTTAGGTACTAGATAACACCTGCAGGGTGCTGAGGGAAGAGGAAATCAGTGCTACTAAGGGAATTAGGAAAGAGGAGTAATTTTTGTCTCCTCCCCTTCCTTTTCCTTTTCCTTTTCCTTTTCCTTTTCCTTTTCCTTTTCCTTTTCCTTTTCCTTTTCCTTTTCCTTTTCCTTTTTAAATTTATTTTGAGGGAGAGGTAGAGGGAGAGAAAGAGAGAATCCTAAGCAGGTTCCACACTTGGTGCAGAACCCAAATCTCACAGCCATGAGATCATGACCTGAGCTGAAATCAAGAGTCTGATGCTTAACCGACTGAGCCACCCAGGTGCTCCACTTTTGTCCCATTTCTTGAAGCATAAAGAATAACAGGTGGGGAGGGGAGTGGAATTGCTGGAATAGATGGGAAGAAAGAAGGCCTTCCAGATTTCTCAAAGCCATGCCTTTAATCACACTGACAAATTTGGGAAATCATAGGTGTTTTAGATCAGAAAGGGAAATAGAGCAATGACTTGAGAAGGCCTTACTTCAGGAATTTGGGTTTTATCTTATAGGCAGTGAGCAGTCATCAGAATGCTTTAAGAGGGCAGTAACTTACTTACTGACCTAGGATGATAAACCAGCTAGCTTAGCTTCTAAATGACCAGCACACTGTATATCAGAGTTCAAGGAAAATTAAAGTAAATTATAACCCTAAAATTTATTTAGCTTTATACAAATAGACCTCTTTCTTTTAGATTTAGTAATCCTAGTAGATAATAGAATGATTTTGAAAATCTAGAAAACTTGGGGTACAAGAAGATGAACTTTTTCTGTAAGGTTCTTTTTATTCAATGAAAAATCTTAGCTACTTGATAACTTATTAAGTTTCTGTTAAAGTGCAATAAAGAATAGAGGAGATAAGAATATCTTATTTGGATCATATTCTGACTCACATTGGTGAAATTTCTTGAAGAAAATCTGTCAGTTTACATCCAGTGTATCCTTAACTGCTAGGTCAAGTATAAACTATGTGCATATCTGTATGAGTGTCTGTATGTCTGTCTGCCTGTTTGTTCACTCGTGTCTATAACATGGGTTTGTTTAAATATAAATGTAGATCAAAGAACTTGGTACTTACATTAGATTAGGTGTAGGAAAGGGAACTATTTGAAGAGAATTTAATAGTTTTAATACAAAATAGAACTATTTTGTAGAAAAGGGAACTATTTAAAGAGAATTTAAAATAATTTATTTTATGTAGACAGGATACTCAAGAGTTCCTTCCAACCCCAAAATGAAGTTCAGGAATTTAAAAACTTTAGAGTCCAGTTCACTTCATTCAAACTTACACAGTGATTTTAAATTACATTTGGTAAGAGTGATTTAAAAGTATTTCCTGTTAAAACCTTGTTCCCTCTCTACCTGCTTTGTAGAGACGGAGTGGTAATCATTCCTACCTTATTGTGGGAAATACAAAATAGAAGTGCCTTGGGGCGCCTGGGTGGCTCAGTCGGTTACATGTCCGACTTCGGCTCAGGTCATTATCTCGCGGTCCGTGAGTTCGAACCCCGCGTCGGGCTCTGTGCTGACAGCTCAGAGCCTGGAGCCTGTTTCAGATTCTGTGTCTCCCTCTCTCTCTGACCCTCCCCTGTTCGTGCTGTGTCTCTCTCTGTCTCAAAAATAAATAAATGTTAAAAAAAAAAATTAAAAAAAAAATAGAAGTGCCTTGAGGTCCTACAGATTAAGAAGTAGTTTTCTGTTGCTTTCATGGGGCATGGTGAATCCCATGTGGAGACCATCCTTCCTTTTAGGCAGGCATGGATGTAAGGTCTTCCCAGTCCTCTATGTACTAGTAACTACTCATCACATGCTGGCTGGGTCTTTGAATAAAGTGAGCTGCTGTTCTTGGGTGCCTTGAAGGACTATAACCCAGTGGAAGTGGCATTGGGTTGTGGGCTCTGCAGTATTAAGTGGCTTCTTAGGATGTTTGTTTGACATGTCACTCACCTGACTGAGGTCAGCTTTTAGGATCTTGGTCCAAAATTTAAGTTCTTAGGAGTTATCTGTCATGAAAGGATAATGTATATTACTTTTCCATTTTAGTATACTATTTTTATAAGGACAACTGATTGAAAATAATGTACAGATTTAGTTGGACATATTTCAAATAGCATCAAGTGACTATGAAATAATGTTTTCAGGCACCACGTGCTAAAATGAACCAGCAGCGTTCCAGGAGGTTCAGAGCATCAAAAGAAGGAATGGAAGCAGCAGTGGAGAAGCAGCGAGTCAGGGAAGAAATACTGTCAAAAGGTAAAGAATATGCATCTCGAAGTTGGATTTCTTATGAAATATATATAGAATGGGGAGGATGTGTGAACTTTCCCTCGGAACAGGAATGATTTTAATTTAATTAGGATCCAGAATATCCACGGAAGATTTATGTTCACTGTCAAAAATAGTTAATGGACTCTGTCACTCCCACTAACAAACTTTTCTTTTCCAAACTCTGTAGTAAAAGGGAAACTTGGGAATAAAAAGGAAGGAATTCTGGTAGGGAAAGGAGATGGTCAATCCCTTTCAAGGTGAGCACAGCTCTTCAGCTAACTTTTATGTATCTGTAGAGGAGAGATACGTTAAGAGTGCTTCTTATTTGTTTTTTCTATGCGGGCTGGTAGAAAGCTACAGTTTTGTATACATTTTCCTCAAATCAATCTTGGTAGCTTGCTTATTGCTTCTTTTTGGAACTCAGAGGTCTGTGAGAGGAGGCCCAGGATGATGTGATCCATATTTACAGGCTTTCACGCTTCAGTATAGGTGGATGCAACAGGCATTGAGGCAGTGAAGTACCCAGGGTTCCCTTGATTTGGGGGAGGTTTGGGGGGTGATTTTTGTAGTTCCTCTAGAGCCTTGGAATTCCTAGTGGGTACATAAGGGAGAGAAGTGGGTACTAATGGGTAGAAGTTGCCACAGTCTTGGAGGGGAGGAAGGTCAGGGAGTCCTGATACTTAGTGGGACTGGTTCTCTACTGAGACACTTACCTGTGAGTTCGGTGTGGCTTTAGCAGGATGATTTGTTTGGTGTTTTGTTAGGTAAGGCAATCTGATAGACCAAGAAAGCTATGATTCATTGGGTGAGGATAGTGTACTTTGCCAGTGAAAAAGGATACGCTAGTATGGTCAGCTCAGGCCTGCAATTATGATACATTTTCTGTTTGAATTTGCTAGACGTGTGCAGCTGCATAGTAACTATAGCTGCAGCTTGTGATTACTATGCTAAAACGTGTTTGTATTTATGAAAGATAGTCTTTGATTTTAAATTTTTTTTTTCAACGTTTATTTATTTTTTTGGGACAGAGAGAGACAGAGCATGAACGGGGGAGGGGCAGAGAGAGAGGGAGACACAGAATCGGAAACAGGCTCCAGGCTCTGAGCCATCA